GTGCTCGCCTGTTCCATCCCAGGGGGTAGTAGGCAGGTGGACAAGCGTTGATGTCGCGCCCCTTTTGCGGCTTGAAAGTGCGCGACAAAGGCGCAAGGAGCTCGTCCGACCCGCAACTCACACCTTCGTCCGCAAGCCCCACCCTCCGCTGTCGGTTGCCACGTGGCGCTGCTTGAAAAGCGCGGGCGCATTTGAGGCAGCGGTCCCAGCGCGATCCAATGTTATTGGCACTGGAGCAAGTAGAGTTAGGTTCGTGAAACTCGTCCAATTCTCTATCCCAAGGTGGAATGTGGCTGAAATAGGGGAGGTCTCTGTACGGGGCGTAATCGGTGGTTTCGTTTGCTTTCCTTCTCTTTTACAGACCACCTCCCACCTATAGCTTCATAACTGAACGCTTTTCCACACCTATTTTATCCCGAATCTTGCCTTTAATCAGATTTTGAGAACTTGATTTTTTTTCTATTCAGATGAGCGATATGGTACCAAAGCTCAGTGAAATGAGATCTGGCACTTCGCTTGTGGCATGCCGATTTCCGCTCCCTGAATGTGGTCACTTCCAATCTATTGCTCAAATTGGTGAAGGTATCGACGCAGTCTACGTGTACAGGAGAACTTAGCTGTTATCGTTAGAAACTTATGTTATGTTATTAGGCCTCAATTTCACATATAAATGCCATGTTGAAATTTGATGATAACGTTGTTATAAATATGCGAGGAGCAAGTGTCACAGAGTACTGCAGCTTGGATATGGACCTTCAATGTTTGCCCTTGTGTTTTTTTAGCTTTAGGTTCAATTTATATTTTGCATGAATTTACTGTAGGTCATATTTCCGAGTTCGGAACTGGAAGCGCGCATAGTGTTATAGTGTTATGCGAGGGCTACTCTCCGTACTTATACCGTCTATCACATTGCAAAGGAGTCGCGCAACCTACTATCAGAGCAAAAAGAGTTTTGTCCCAGCTTTTGTGAGGTATGCTGCTGCTTTCAAGGCTTTGATCATATTTGTTGGATATTCGTGACGTAACGGTGACCTTTTCAGGAGATTCTTTCTTCGGCATCCACACGCCCATTTATGGATAGTGCTCGGCCTCCTGACATCTGCAATGATTGGGCCATCCATGGGTTCCGTAAGTGTGCCAATCTTTTCATAGTTTTTCTTCATGGCTTCATTTCTCTTCTTGAGGTAGCTATTTATAGTTCTACAAGTTCTTCACCCTCACTCCGGAACAATTCAAAACATATCAGCTAGAGAGGAAAGAACTAGTACGAGAGAGGGCGAAATACGGTAAATTCTCGATTGTCTTATATGCGAACTGTAGAGAGAAACTGTCTTTTCGTATCGTTCAACCCTTCAACAAAGGAATACCGTCGTTCTACCGGTTCTGGCTTTTCCACCTCTCATGGAGTGCTATGCTAATTGTAGTTTCCTATTGAAGAGTGATAGTGTAACCTCTCCGTTTGATGTTTTGAAAAGACTTTTGATAAATGGTATCCAAAGAATCAACAAAATTTGAAAAGCCATTAGCCATAATGAGGAGAGTAAATTTCACATTAACTTAGAGGCGGCGATCACGATAGATTCGAGAACCTTGGATCCACTGACAATCGGCGGTGGACCTGAGGTTCGCGCAGTAGAAAATGGTTCGCGCTACGGGACGCGAAAAAGTCGCTTTCTGTCATAGTGAACCACACCCATGATGCTTAATAGCACGCAGTGGCTAAAAAAGCTGAGAAATCCGTCAAGAAAACGCAAAACGGGACCCCTTTTTTGGCCGTTTTTTTCACTCATGAACAGGTAACAGCTCAGAAATCGGACGTATGAACGAGTTCACGCAATGCGTTTGGTGGCAGCATGCCAAACCACGGTCCAATCGAGTTGCTCCAGTTGTGCCGCTGCTGGCAACGCAGCTCGTCCAAATCACCAACTAAACTAGTGGGCGGATCGCTTTTGGGGGCGGAGTGCTTTCGAAGTCCTGCTCAGCAACCAGCGCACCTTTCGTCGTGAAAGCGCTACACCTCGCTTCCTGGCAGCCAAGTAACTGATTCGTGTGGTGCATATGCTTCCCGCGATGCGCTCCTCCTTATCGTAATCGCTCCTTTAATGGACGTAAACTGAAATTATAAGGCCGTATGCCAATTTGGCATTGAATTGCTAATTTGTAAATCTCGAAGATTGGCCTCTCCTGGGAACCTAACACCTTTCGGGAACTCTTGCTCGTTCCCGTTATTTTACAATTTCTTCGTGAGATACTTCTCCTGGTATGATACAAATACTTATATTTTCGCTTCCACAGCAATATCATTCAATTTTTTTCAGGGAATAGTTTATGGATACCGTTCTATTCCAAAAGGAGAGCTTGTACGTGAAGAATCTCAACAGTCTGATTGAAGATTTTATTAGTGATAGTGCAATAAAAGAGATTTTATATCACCAGTCCATCGTTGGCCACAAATGCTCGTGAAAAATTCTTGGCAATGTTCAAACAACTGTGGGGAAGGTAAAACTAATCTAATATGCGATTCTTATTCAGACTACAAGATATCGTGACATCCGCTGCCTAATCACTAAATCCTAAAAATACAACATTTTTTTTTTATTTTTTTTTTTTTTTTTTCTATAAATGTCAAAACCTTCCATTTCACATGAAGACGATTTGACAAAATTCAGTATGCTGCGCCGAATACGCCCACGTAGCTGTTCATGTTCGATTTATAAGAAGTTGAAACACGCCTCCTCAACCAGTCCAACACACATCTGCCCTGCAGTGTTCATAGTAAAAAGGATTGACACATCTCTGACAGATGTCTTAGGCGATGTCGGGTGTTGAACCCACACTCAATGGAAAAGCGGTCGTATGCATGGTGTCGCAGTAGACACTACGGAATGGCTCATAAAGTGTGAAAAGGGAGGAATTGCCCTGAAAAGATGTCGGAGCCATGTAAAATGAAGATTCAGGTGCTTGCATAAAAGTGCTTTGGAAATGACCAGTTCCAACTCATGCAGGACGGAGCGACAGAAGGCTATGTGCTGGTAGCATTGATCAAAGCTGAAGCGGAATCCAATCAGAATCCTTGATCAGGAGGTCGAGCAGTAGCGACGTCTAGGGAACTACTCGCAGCTCGGCATCCTATGAGCGCTTTTATGAAGGCGTCCTGTGTTGGAGTGGTTGTAGTTGAATTTGTGTACATGCTACTGCTCATAGAGGCCACGAGGTGTCTCTGGAGACGCTATTTGTACATTGCTATGGATGCCGTTAATTGAGTATCAGGCCTGTGAGGTCGCAAAAGAGATATTGGGCGCAAACAAGAGCGAAAGGAGATGTCCTAAGAAGTAATTTTCCTGCAGGCGGTTTATAAGGTGTTGCTATTGCTATCTCCTTCTACAGAAATTACTGCGAACAGGTT